AGAGAGAGAGAGAGAGAGAGAGAGAGAGAGAGAGAGAGAGAGAGAGAGAGAAAGAGAGAGAGAGAAAGAACGACATGCATCAATCACGTTTCTTCCCAAACTGCATCAGACTTTCAGAAAGGCGACAGACTGAGACGGATCCGCTTTGCGACGTAAGGCACAGTGGCGGTCTTCCCTACCCAATTCACTAATCAAGCAACCTAGTTAAGTTAGTCCTACTTATTGGGTTGTTTCTGATTGTTATTTTATTTATTTATTTAGTTGCATCAAAAATAGGTCATACGTGTAATTATAAGTGCCGAAGACAATCAGGGATGTTAACTAGAGAGTAATGTCACACAGGGAAAAGAAAGAGGGGAAATCAGGACGACAAAAGTTTGATACTTGAAAGGAATAAATTTAAGGTAAATCCAACTAGAGCACCCGCCAACCACCTACAGGGTTTGGGATTCTGGGGTTTTAAAAAAAGGGAGTGTATTCAGACCCGGTAACCGGGAACAAAGTCACAAAGTATACAGACCCGGTAGGGGAACTCTGTTGTGATTTTACTTTTATTGCCCTCTTGGCTCAGGGTAGACCTAGGTTCTAGATCTATGGCCTAGGTCTAGATCGAGACAGACAGATATAAATCATTGATCTAGTTTCGAGGTTAGCCTAGATCTAATCTAAATGAAGATTGCGGATGTCTTTTCGATGAACGATCGTTTTTCCCCCGTTTTGGAGTTGGAAGAATCACAATGTCATAATTTCAATCGAGCAGTCTCTCTCTCTCTCTCTCTCTCTCTCTCTGTATCGCTCGCATTCTCTTTTTCTTTCTCCCCTCCTATTTCTCACGCTATCTTTCTCTTGTTCCCTCCTGCCAACAGGGGCATGTCATATACATTCTGCTAGCACTTCCCCCTGCTCTCTCTCTCTCTCTCTCTCTCTCTCTCTCACACACACACACACACACACACACACACACACACACACTACCGGGTCTGGGCGCTGAAACTTTCCGAAATCACAAAAGAGTTCCCCTACAGTGTCTGTATACTTCGTGGCTTTGTTCCCGGTTACCGGGTCTGTATACACTTCGTTAAAAAAAAACACCAAAAGTCTTCTTTTGGGGACGGAGCGGGACTGAGACAACGGTTGCATGTGTCACACAGACAAGATTGGAAATAAAACAAAAGAAAAACCCGGGAAATCCCACAGTATACAAGAATGTAGACGTCAATGGCCTCGGTTTGAACAAGCAGGTCGCTAAGGTCTACCCTATCTCCCACACGTGAGCAAGCAGCGTCGACATGGAAGACGCTTCTGACTTATTTAAAGAACGGGAGGGCGACATTTACTTTCACCATGTCGACTGCAGAGGTAAAAAGGAGAAATAAATGTGTTCTTTTCAATCAATGAGCAAGGCACGAAGAAGAAAGGTCGTTTGAAAATTCTTGTGTGAACCGTCTTTTGGCTTGTGGGGGGTGGCTGAATGCAAGTTAACCAAAGCATGGTAATTAGACTGTGGGAGAAATGTGAGGTAGAAGAGGATTTTCTTTCCTATGTCAAAAAAAAAAAAGAATTTTTCCCCACCCAAAAGAAATACATGGAGGTGTCAATACGAGAGAGAGAGAGAGGGAGAGAGAGAGAGAGAGAGAGAGAGAGAGAGAGAGAGAGAGAGAGAGAGAGAGAGAGAGAGAGAGAGAGAGAGAGAGAGAGAGAGAGAGAGAGATCATGAAAAGTGAAAAGATACATTGTTCACCACTACCTTCTGCCAATAAACTTTGGAGGAGAGAAAGTGTGTGGGTCAAGGAGTTGTGCGCGCGCGGTGTGTGTGTGTGTGTGTGTGTGTGTGTGTGTGTGTGTGTGTGTGTGTGTGTGTGTGTGTGTGTGTGTGTGTGTGTATGAGTGTTCTGTTGTTAAAGTCTGGCCTCACGATGTGCACATCTGTCAGTGAAGTTATAAATTCTGCATTGTAAAGCTTTCTTGGAATAAGGAACCTCATAAATTCCGATAACCACTCATAAATGTTATAAATAACACAAAATTACAGCACACCTATCTTATGCTGGGGCTGACACCAGGAATTGTTTGGTGTGTTGGCTGGTTGATCTACACATACGGTAGTATCAGTAAACCCGTAAATCAGTAAAGTAAATCGGTACAAGTACAAGTCAGATCTATCTCTTCCCGATGATATAGCTTTATAACTGCGACCATGTATCAGTTTAACCATGATAAAAATAAAGTCGAGATAAACCTCACGACAGATCGGCTTCCCAGTATAACTGGACAATGACCGAGATTCATCGTCGCGTCGACTATCTAAAACACACGAACGTAACACTTTGAACCTCACCGATCATTATCCCGTCTACATGACATAATCTGACCTCAATAAACCCACCGATAATGATATAAGAAGTTAAACCAATGAATTTCCTCCACATCTGTTTCGGCTATAAAAACTATGAAACAAAGGCTAAAAGAACGTTTGGTGGTAGAGCGCAGAGGAGCGACAATGTCTTAGCAAGTAAGTCTTAGTATCATTTTCGTTTGGAAGAAGTTTTACGGCGTCCGCAGCCGCCAGAGAGTAGAGTGCTTGTATTGTAACAAAGTACAATGTACTATAAGGTCCATAGAAATAGATTGGAAACGGCCCCCCTTTTTTATCAGAAGAAACCGCAGTCTGAGTATGTGCGTGTTTTGCCATGTACGTGCTAAACTGTATCACGACTTTTAGTTGGGAGAGACACAGTAGTCTCTCTCTCTCTCTCTCTCTCTTTGGGAAGCACAAAAAACATACCACTAACTACCCATACTCCCAACTCAATTCACGACACTTTTTGGACCCCTTATTCTTTCTTCAAACTCCAGCAGCAGGCGGGTGAGTAGGCTAGTCTAGGGAGACGCACTTCTTGGCGGGAAAAGTCGATGGAGACGGATCTTTGTGTGAGGAGAGGAGTTTGTCGGAAGGGGGG